CAAAAGAAGGAAAAACTGCCCCAATATGAACAAAAAGAGGTAATATTCTGAACACTTCAATGGATGTGAAAGGTACATTTTAAAAAAATCTTTGTGTGCATACTTACTACATTTACCTTTATTTACATTTACCAATATATCTATCTATCTGCGTTAGTATTCATACATTTTCCGTACATATACACATCCTTCCACATATACAGTAGCTAGAAAAAAAACAACAACAACTCATAGACCAAATCTGCCCCATAAAACCATACTAAAAACAACTCATTTTTTCAAAGCATACAGCCCACGTTGAGGAGGTAGTCAGACCTGAATGGAGAGTGTGAGGTAGGAGTGAGGAACCGCTCTCTTCCCACAGGTGTTCGCTGTAAACAAACACAGGTGTCCGTTCCTCCTGGCTATGATGTTTATTATCTCCATAGATGTTGAAATTGATGTTGAATTTGAAATCTTGCAAGGATTTCTTCTTTTTGTATGGGTGGGTGGGTGTATGTATCAAATGTGTATGTATGTATGCATGCGTGTATGTAGTATGTATGCACTTGTGTGTGTGTATATGCATGAGTGTATGTATGTATTGGAGGGGGAGGATGATGATGATGATGAGGAAGGGGGGGGAGAGGAAGGAGGAGGAGGAGGGGAGGAGGAGGAGGAGGAGGAGAGGAGGAGGAGGAGGAGGAGGAAGAGGAGGAAAGAGGAGGAGGAGGAGGAGGAGGAGGAGGAGGAGGAAGAGGAGAAGGAGGAGGAGGAGAGGTGGAGGGAGGAGAGGAGGAGGAGAGGAGAAGGGGAGGAGAGGGGAAGGAGGAGAAGAGGAGGAGGAGAGGAGGAAGGAGGAGGAGGGAAGAGTAGGAGGAAAAAGAAGAGGAAAATAAGGAGGAGGAGGAGGAGGAGGAAGAGAAAAATATGAAAAAAAGAAAAGGAAAGATAGAAAAGGCCAAAAAAGGGTCTTCAAATCCATCTCAGTTTCATCCAAACGTAAAATAGAATGAAATACATAAATTAATTAATAAAATTCTTTATCGCCTTGACAACCCTAAAAGGTATGTACAGCACAAACCGTCGCGGCGTGAGAAAGACTTATCGGTTGGGGGGGGGGGGTGGGTAGATTCCAGCAACACCCCCCTTTCTCTCCACCGCCCTTCCTTCCCCCCCCCCCCGACCTTCACTGGACCCTCAACCTTCCCCTCCCCCTCCCCCCTCCGACCGTAACTGGACCCCTTCCCTCCCTCCCCCTCGTTCCTGGACCCCCCTTCCCCTCCCCCCTCGTCACTCCCTTACTCGTTACTGGCCCCCCCTTCCCCTCCCCTCTCACCTCGACCACTCGTCGCTGGCGTGGACCCCCTTCCCCCCTCCCTCGTCACGGGACTTCTTTCCCCTCCCCCCTCGTCACCTCTCCCCCCTCCCCCCCCCACCCTCACTCTTTCCGTCGTCACAGGACCCCCTTCCCCTCCCTCTCCCTCCCCTCGTCAGGACCCCCTTTCCCTCCCCCCCCCCTCGTGTCCCCCTTCCCCTCCCCCCTCCCCATCCCCCTCCCCCCCCCCCCGTCACTCCCCTTCCCCTCCCCCCCCTGATCCCCCCTTCCCCCTCCCCCTCCCCCCCCACCGTCACTGGACCCCCTTCCCCTCCCCCCCTCATCAGGTCCCCTCCCCCCTCCCCCCCCTCCCCTCCCCTCCCCCTCCCCCCCCACCGTCACTGGACCCCCTTTCCCCTTCTCCCCTCCCCCCCTCACCCGACCCCCCTCCCCCTTCCCCTCCCCCCCCACCGTCACTGGACCCCTTCCCCTCCCCTCCCCCCCTCGGCACCCGACCACCCTCCCCCTTCCCCACTGATCACCCCATCCCCCCTCCCCATTGATCACCCCCTCCCCCCTCCCCACTGATCACCCCCCCCCCCACCGTCACTGGACTAAACTAGCACAGTGCTATTGATTGAAGTGTTGTTATGCCATACCTTTGGGTTGGGTGGGAAGGAGAGAGAGAGTGTGTGACGTGTGCTGTGTGTGTGTGTGTGTGTGTGTGTGTGTGTGTGTGTGTGTGTGTGTTGTGTGTTGTGTGTGTGTGTGTGTGTGTGTGTGTGTGTGTGTGTGTGTGTGTGTGTGTGTGTGGTGTGTGTGTGTGTGTGTGTGTGTGTGTGTGTGTGTTGTGTTGTGTGTGTGTGTTGTGGGTGTGGTGTGTGTGTGTGTGTGTGTGTGTGTGTGTTGTGTGTGTGTGTGTTGTGTGTGGTGTGTGTGTGTGTGTGTGTGTGAGGGTGTGTGTGTGTGTGTGTGTGTGTGTGTGTGTGTGTGTGTGTGTGTGTGTGTGTGTGTGTGTGTGTGGTGTGGTGTGTGTGTGTGTGTGTGTGTGTGTGTGTGTGTGTGTGTGTGTGTGGTGTGTGTGTGTGTGTGTGTGTGTCGTGTGGTGTGTGTGTGTGTGTGTGTGTGTGTGTGTGTGTGTGTGTGTGTGTGTGTGTGTGTGTGTGTGTGTGTGTGTGGGTGTGTGTGTGTGTGTGTGGTGTGTGTGTGTGTGTGTGTGTGTGTGTGTGTGTGTGTGTGTGTGTGTGTGTGTGTGTGTGTGTGTGTGTGTGTGTGTGTGTGTGTGTGTGTGTGTGTGTGTGTGTGTGTGTGTGTGTGTGTGTGTGTGTGTGTGTGTGTGTGTGTGTGTGTGTGTGTGTGTGTGTGTGTGGTGTGTGTGTGTGTACGTGTGTGTGTGTGTGTGTGTGTGTACGTGTGTGTGTGTGTGTGTGTGTGTGTGTGTGTGTGTGTGTGTGTGTGTGTGTGTGTGTGTGTGTGTGTGTGTACGTGTGTGTGTGTGTTGTGTACGTGTGTGTGTGTGTGTGTGTGTGGTGTGTACCGTGTGTGTGTGTGTGTGTGTGTGTGTGTGTGTGTGTGTGTGTGTGTACGTGTGTGTGTGTGTGTGTGTGTGTGTGTGTGTGTGTTGTGTACGTGTGTGTGTGTGTGTGTGTGTGTGTGTGTGTGTGTGTGTGTGTGTGTGTG